AAGACTGCGTATTTCTGGTAGAGAAAAGGCTGACATAAGACCAATGTAAGTTCTCAAATGCAACAGCCGATGGCAACAGAACATTTCTCAACCAGTAGTGTGATCCTCTGTGTGGCAAATATTACTTACTCATCTTCAATCTGATACAATATTGATAAGACATCCCTTCATTTACTGCCACTTTGAATTTTAAGTTAGGCCATAGCAAGTAATTTTTATGGATGACATCAGCGCGCGCATTAATTTTCGCTTGATTTGGAAAAAAAACAAGACATTTTGTTGCCCTCTGACAGTGGTCAACATGCCGAAAATGGGCAAATATGTCTGTTGCCATGCCAGAACGTGAATGGCTGATAACTATGAAGACAGGAGACAAGAAAAGACTATGATTAAATGTTTTGTTTTTTACTTTGAAGCAGTGATATGTGATACTGGCTGTATCGCATATCATATGTATATGTGATGTTCTCACTGAATCAAAACCATTTGTACAATTATTGAGTCAAAATTTGAGAATGTAGGAACCTTGTTTTTTTGGCCCGCCTTGTTTTTTTTTCGCCCGCTCGCATTAGATTTGGAGTCTGCGGAGGATGTCATCCATAAAATTTACTTGCAGTGGCCTTATGTGAACATGCCCGTGTTCATGAAATTTTGCTATTGTGAAGAAACAAGTGAATTACAGTACCTGTATTTCCAGCCCATTTCCATCACTACACACCAGTCCTTGATATACCACCAATGTTATTGTATTACCTTTACAAACATTTTTTTCGATTTTGCATGTTTAACCCTATTGAAGCTTACATCCATAGAAGTGGAATTACATGGTCACAGCAGAGACATGGTTAAAATTGACATTTGTGAAATTCAAAGTCCACTACTGTATCATTTTGATACGTTAATTTTATCAGTTAGCAATAACAATAAAGGTATTGAAGCAGTGAGGTTATATTGTTGTTTTTGACAAGCATCTCTTAGTCGCCCAGTAACTATGCAAGCTTTGGAATGACATTTTCGGCAGCAATATATGATGGGTGTCCTCGGCCCTTCTCAGTCACTGAGTGATTTTTAGAGATCAGTTGGTTAACAAAACTTAATTGCACAAGAACTGGTACATAACTACGACTGGTACATAACTACAGCTAAAATGCCTAATACAAGTGGGGGGGGCGCTGGGCGTTATACAACCGGCCTTCCCTCATGCAAATACAATGTACTAATAAACATGTGTAGTGCCCGGAAAAAAAGTGACGAAGGGGTTCCGATGGTTCATGTTTGAGTTTACATTTCTCGTAATCTGCTGCAAAATGGTATTAACTACTAACATGGCTGGAAAGTGTAAGAAGTGGCGTGTTTTGGGTGAAAATTGATTTCAGGCCCGAGGCTTACTTCGTTCCGGGTGTCCTTCCGCCTTCAGCGCGGTGCTTCGGTTTGACCTAGATATGTGTTGAATGCGTTCTGGGGGTGCTGTCGCTATGGACACCACGCTATGCCTCGCGCGACGGGCTATTGTGATAATCTCAGTGTTAGGATTTTCTTTATACTTTTCTTAATAATACATAAGGGTTTTCTCTTTCCGACCATATAGGTCATATTGGTGGCTAAATTCTGGGTGATGGGTCTTATTCCACGTGAAAATGGCCAATTTTTGGCATCATTTTCCCCCTAAAATTTACTAAAATGTGAGAAGTGAAAGAAATTGAAATTCTTTTGTTCTCGTAGCTAGAGCGATATCCTTCATTTGCAAACACAGTGTTTGGGCTTAAGAGGTATTTCCTGAGAGAGACGGTCGCTAGAGTTGAGGGTATGTAGAATCGAATTGAGACCCAAAATAAACTGGGGTGTGCCCCCATAACTCAGAAAACAGGTCCATCCGCATTTTTATCTTGTAACCACAGATTTAGTCCTGTCTACAGATTGTCGCAGTGAAAAATCCTCAACAGATTTTGGGTTTTCTTCCACGACTTTCTTCTACTTTTTATTTGATTTTCCCTCCCCCAGAAAAGTAAGTACATGCCCATTTGTACGATGTTAAGTATTAGACCGTCTTTAGTAAAGTGAAGTCGTCCGTTTTAGCTCTTTTCTGCATATTTGTTCACTAAGGTATGTGCGTAAACCTTCCCTGTTACATTTGTACTAGTGAAACAGCGTACGAATAGTACAAATAAAAAAAATCAAATTTTATTCGGTAAGGCTCTCGCGGGCAAATACCCGAATTTCGTCCTTATTACATAAGTACATAGAGCATTACATACAATGATTTGTGACACTCTTCATTGTGCACATGAAACAACATAGGCAAACACACTATTAAGACATATTCGAAGACGATTACACAATTAAAATCTATGCACAAATGCAGTTATCACGTAGGATTTAGCTAGGTACTATATATATATATATATATATATA